TGCCACGCTGGAAAGCACAGGAGATGGCTGAGCTGCTCACCAGGCCAGCCTGTAAGAAACAGTCTTGATCAGCTTGTTGAGCCCCAAGATGGAAGCGGAAGAAAACCCTCTGTACATGTGTAGGAAGTGAAGGAGAAATACTGCGTCCTTTATCCATTAGCAAGTGTGGCTCAGCAAGTGTATCTGGTTCTCTTCAGTCAAATTGGCCATTCCAGTTTTTAGGGGGAGTGATATTAAATGCATCTATATGAAACAGGGAAAAGATGTGTCCTCTCTTCACCATGGCCAAGGCTAACACACAGTTTAAAATTCCCCCTTCTCAGAGAGTAGTGATTGATGCTAGGTCAACCTGTGAAGGTAACGTTCTTCCAATTATGTTCTCTGTGGCATCTGATGTTATGGACTGCTCCATTTTCGACTCTGCTTGGCTGGATACTGCCTTTTTCTGATCATTTTCATAGCTCTCACTCATCTTTCTTCATCCCTTACTGTTGCCTTTTCCCTACCTGGGTCTTAAATGTGGGAATTTGTCTCTCTCCTCTCCTTTCCTCTCCTCTCCTGTTCTCTTTTTCTTCTTATGTTTATTTTGTTTTCTGGATAAATAATTTCATTTGCTCAAAAACTTAAATTCTATTTTCATGTTGGTGTCTTCTACAATTTAAACTCTTCTTTTTCAATTTACAAACAATTTTCCAACTGCTTCCAGGATCATCCATAAAATAGTCTCATTTGCATCTTCAAATTCAGATATGAAGCCAAATTAATCAATTCCACCCCACTCCCCCTATTTTTCTACCCATTCCCTTAACAAACTCACTCCTCCTCTGAGGCTTCTTTTTCCAATGAATGGCTCACCTACCTAAATTAGAAGCTCAGATCAAATGCTTCCTATTTCTTGACATCTTCCATGATATTTTGGTTGGGATTATGAACTCTTTTCTTTACATAATATGTCATTATTTTTTAATGTGGATTTGTCAAGAATTGTGAAGGGAAGTCCCTGACTTATGAGCAAGTTCTGTTCTGGGAGAACATTCTTAAGTCGGATTCATTTGTAAGTCCGGCTAAGGGAGTCTTACACACCTTTGACACAAATACAATGTATCTTGCTTTGCACTTCCTAGCAGTCCTCGCCACATCACTTCTGCTTGTTCTCTTGCTTCTAGACATCCTGGGCTCTGATTGAGCACTGCACTAGAACACTATCTCACTGTACAGTAAGCACACAGCAGCACAACTGTGGCAGTGTCCGGCAATTCATGAGCTGCTTCAGTGATTTGTTCCCATCTACCAATATTTGTAATGTGAGGTCTGCTTGTATCTATGACAGTTTGCAATTCAAATGGTCATAAGTCAGGTACTTACTGTATTTTTATGGGATAGTAAACAAGCCTTATCTTTCTTCCATAGGGAACTGTTATCTATATTTTCCTATTCATTATATTGTTAATAAATGAACTTTCTTGGAAGATAATCTGGAACAAAAGGGCAGTTAGTGTTTCTTGTCAAAAGATAAGCAGAAATGTGAGAGAGGATAGATGCTTGTATCTGAGTAGAAATCGTCCTGCCTTGTTTTATATTGACTATTGGTATTTTTCACGTATCAAATGTAACCTCTTTTATATTAGAGATGTTGGTTAATTTCTGGTAAAGACAATTAATGAAGGTCTTTGTGCCCAGCTGAAACCATCATTGGCTGTGGCTGGGCGTCCTTCTGAGACTCTGGAAGTGCAGGAATGGAGGAAGTGTTAGACATAGAGTGTTTACAATCAGCACCAAAAATGTGGCTTCAACCATAGTCAGTTTGACAAGGATAGTACTTTGTAAATAACTGTCACTCCGGGTTCTCATTTGTAAGCAAGAAATATTGACTCTGGTTGAAATAAGTATGAAAGCATATTTAAGCAGACAAAGGGTGGATGACAGAATCTCAAGGGGGGTAGAGGGTGAGGCCTGGAACAGCCGAAATCAGGCCACACAGCAAGGCTCATGAAGGACACCTCGATTAGACATCCTTGCAGTAGGATGCTAAATGCTGCCTCTCAAAACTCCGAGATGACCTCTTGAATCTTGCCCACTCTCCCTAGGGCCAGTGCTGTTGCTGCTGCCACCACTTGATCACCATAATAGACTCTGCATAGTTTGTCACTCCCTCTGTCAATTGTCATTTCTCAATGCAGTGCCTTAGGAGGAAGTATCTAATTGACAAATTTAGATTGCAACCTATGCCTGACCATGAGGGAGGCTGGGATTATGAGTATCTGGTATTTTCAGACTCTGGGGGTAGGAAACAGTAGGGAATTTTCCAACAATAGGAAATTGGCTGAAACTGAGCAGCAACACAGAAAAAGAATGTGGTTTCATTGTAAAATCCCCTCATGCGCTCTCAGCTTTCTCTCATTCATCAGTGACCTCCTGCCAGGAAGGCATGTGTAGGAGTGGAGCAAAGAGAGCACACTTAGGAGGAGATCTAGCCAGCAGGGAAGAGAAACAGAACTGTTACTGGGAAAGGGGTGGAGAAAGGTTAGGACAGGGAATAACAGGGGATGTGATCTACTTGTGTTCTTCAGGTGTTACCAAGTAGCCTGGGTCTTGCTTCAGTGATCATGGATTTAAAATGAAGGCATTTGGTGCAAATTTAAGGGGCTTTAGTTGGAAGGTAAGAGAAAATGGACACACAGCTCTGACAAAGATCAAGCCAGTTCCCTAACAAAGAAAAGTAAGAGAAGATAGGAAAAAGTCTTCAGGTTGAAGAACGGAAAGGGGAAAAGGTCTGAAGAAGTGGATCAGACTGTCCTATTAAAGGGAAGTGTGCTGTAGTAGGCTGGGATCTGGCTGATCACTACCTCAGTCCTGGCCTTTTTTTTTTTTTTTTTTTTTTTTTTTTTTTTTTTTAGCTCCGTAGGAATTCTCATGGCTGGAGAAGCAGTTTTGTTCCTATGGGTGAAAGGTGGAATGGGCCATCACTTTTAGGTATCTTGCCCCATTAGGTAGAGATTCTAATATACTATAGCTTCCTCTTAACCATCTTAATTGAGTTGGTTTTCTACTCCAGAATTAGGTAAAACTTTAGTTTGTAAAATAAACTATTCTAATGGTCCAAGCAAAGGAGGTTGATTTGAAAGACACATCCATCTTCCAAAGATTTACTATGTTTCTTTCTAAATGTTTTGCAAAATATCCTCCCCAGCAGTTCCTCTCATTCATACTTAATCACTTATTTGGGGATTATTTTTATTCTACAATTGGGTAACACTCTGGTCCATAAAATAAGGTACTCTGATAGTACAAGCAAAGGAGGTTGGTTTTTCTGCTTTTCTTGAAGAAAACAGAAGCAAAAGGAAAAGTGGGTTGTTCATTTCAAAATTACTTTCCTGAAAGCAAGAACAGGAAGACAGGACAATAGGAAAATTACTGATTAATTAACATCAGGTTATTTCAGGTTAATTCTTTTACGTAAGGATTAAAACCCAAGGAATGTCATCATGGTAACAGTTGAAACTGGCTCTTTGGGAAATTCTTAAGGGTTTTCTTTCCTGTCTTACCCTTTCTTTCCTTGTTTCCTCTAATGCTTCTTTTCTCTATCCTTCCTTCTTCCTTCCTTCCCTTCCTTCTGCCTTCCCTGTTTGCTCTCTCTCTTTCTCTTCCTTCCTTCTTTCTTTTTCTTTCATGATCCTGGGCACCGACCTAGGATCTCACAAGGCTAGGTCAGTGCTTTACCACTGAGCCACAACCCCCACTCTTAATCTGTGAGTTCAGTGCCCTCTGAGATTGTCTCCAGTTTGATTCCAGCCAGTGCCACAATGCAAGGGTCAAAGGCAGATGGGCACAGATGGGTAAGAGAGCAAAGTTCTTGTTGAAAGTACAGCTGTCAGTGAAAGAAGGTGCACTTGGTGATTTAGGCTTTGTTACAGAGAGACCACTATTGGGTTGCTGGAGCATAGAAACGATACTTCTAGAGCTTAGAACACTGCGATCTGGTCTGCTGTGTTTTTTTCAGAAATGGTGCTCCTCCCTCACATCCACGTCCAGTTAATTACAAAAAAACTATTAACTTCACTTCCAAACATTGTAGAAATCTCTCCTACTTCTGCCCTTCATAATTTCCTCCAAGTTTTTTTAATGTTCTTGCCTAATCTAATCCACGTTTGTCACAAAGTTTTTTTAAAAATTTATTAGTACATGTCTGTAGTACATAATGTTCACATTCCTTGTGGAGAGGTGGTCCACGTACACAGTACACCTTAGTTCCTTTTTCCATCCCCTTTCCGTTCCTTCCATTCCCCAGCTCTTGATCCCCTTCCTTTTTTCTCCATGTTTCAGTGAAGTGCATAGTGTTTATATTCCTGTGTCACAGTCTTAACAGGGTGCGCTGTCAGGGAAAATTTACCACCTGACTCGGAGTAGCTGCATAGACCTTACCGATCATCAGTAAACTTGTGTCTAAAGTCTAGTCGATGCTCAGTAAACGTTGAATGAATGAATGACACTCTATGTTCTCAAAAGCTCTTTGAGAAACACCTGTTAACCCCCTTTCTTGTTGTTTTTGTTCCCTATGATTCTATTTCAGGAAGTCAGTAATAGGAGTCTAGTCCAGGACTCTGCATTTTGATAGTTCCTAGATGATTTTCACGCAGGAGCTGTAAGGATTACATTCTGGAGTCTTTAGGAAGTGATCCTAAAGTGATCTCTGCAGTGGCAGAGAACTTTTCCTTTTAGAGGCTCTATCTGAAAACCCTTCAAGGACTGGGGTGTGTTACTTCGGTAGACCTGCACCCACACCCACACCCAGAAAGCCTCTGTTGAGTGAATGACAAAGCTGCAGGACTAGGTGCCAAGTCAAACCATCTGCTGCACAGCTCCTACAGAATTCTGCAACAGCAGGAAGACCCTCCCAGGCCAGGCTCTGCTGGCTTCCCGCAGCGAATGAACGGACCCTGGACTACACTTCCCAGGGTTCCAAGCGCTCCGCGCAGGCGCACTTGGGAACATGGCACCGTTTTCTTCCCGGCAGCCCGCGGGGCTTCCGCCTACCCCGCAGGTCCGTAGCACCGGTGGGTCAGAACCACGGCTGTGAGTGGTAGGACGAGCAGCCATGGGCTCGCCCCTGAGGTTCGACGGGCGTGTGGTGCTGGTGACCGGCGCGGGGGGAGGTGAGCCCCGGGGCGTGCGGGCGCGTGCGGCTCACCGCGGGGCGCCTCCGGGTCGGTCGTGGGTGGCGGCGGTGCGGG